AATTAAAATGAAGAAGGGAGAGAATACTGAATCCTGACATTTCCAGGCATGCACATTGGTGTCACACAATCTTTTTCTGCCCCACCAAGTGTATAAGGAGTCAGAATCACTGGGGTTACATTCTGCCTAAGGCATAAAAACACAGTCCTTAACTTAAAGTGTCTTTCACAAGTAGCTTCAGAAAAGTATTTAAAACAAATCTCTCTTTATGTTCATGAGTAGTTTCAATGGGATTACTCATGTGCAACAAATTAATCATAAACTTAACTAACTTCATGAATCAGAGTTTATATTACTGTTATAATAAACTCCAAGTTGACCTCTTCCCTGGCTGCTTTATATTGGAGTGTGAATTTCCTATCTTTATATAGAACAAGGCCAGCAAAATCAAAATTTGGAAACTGACAGCTAAACTAATTAGGAGGAGTAAAACTCATGACAGTAAACAACAAAATCAGAAACAGATTATATTGGGGGTAGTGTTTAAAATGTTCCCAAACTTCCTAGAAAAAAAAAACACTGTCCTCTAGTTGTGGGGTGTGATATTCTAGTAAGAACTGGATTGTTTTGGGGTGTGGAGAAATTAGATGGGGATTGACAACTAATAATTAGTAGCTGCCCAAAAACATCAATTTCCACCTCTGTACCACGTGAATAATTACACTGACCTTATTTGAGAATATCTAATGAAGAGCTCTAAACTATTTACTGTATCTCTATAATGCATGTTCATATGTGCAGTAGGTATTACTGTATTTTCTTGCACATAATGCTCTCCCCTTCAAAATTAGGGTGCCTGTCTTAAGTGAGGAAGCTGGGTTTTTTGCCCAGAACAGACACCCCTCCTTGCTTTGATTCCTGCTCCAAAATCAAAATCCCAGAAGGAGCAGTGGAATTTCTTTTTAGGAAGCTGAGGGAGTCAATTGACTTAATGGCTCATTGTTCTTCACTCCTCAGATGTTAAAAATGACAGATTGTTTTTAATGCTCTTGAAGTTCCAACTAATCAAGCTAACTTTTCTTCCAGTAATTTTAACTAGCACCTCCTAGGCTCCCTCCTCCTATTTCACAGCCCTGCAGACTTTTTAGCTCTGTCCCTGCTCCATGCTGCTGTAACTCTAGAAATATCTTTTTTTCTTCACCCTGCCTTCCCAAGAATAACGTGTGTATTTTATTCCAGGGTGTTTTGTATGAAAAAAAAATATGGTAGTCTAACTAAATACAAATCTTTAAAACAGGAATCATTAATGCATCTTTATTTCTCGTGACAATTTTGTTTTGCAAATATTAGTCATTGCTCCCAAAAGACCTGGAAGCATTATTCCTTTTTCCAGGATATGACAATATGTGCATTTATCTAAACTCATATGTTCACTGTAGTATTTTTACAGACTTCAAGTAAGCCTTCATGAAAATTCCTATACGACCAATGACGTACAACTGAGGAATGAATTGATAAAGTTAACTTATAAAAAATTAGTTGAACTGCACTGCGGTTGAAATCAGGTATAGCCAAGTCCTACTTGAGAATAAGTTGTAAAATGTAAGATGTGGAAAAAAAAAATTTTTTTTTTTAAAGAAATTTTCAAATATCAGAAAAGCATACAAATATACAAGATATAAAGCTAAATAACACCACCACTTTTGAGATATTTACATGTAGCTAAAATAGATTAGCTAGGATATGACTAGGCAGGATAATTCTCTCTTCAAATTTTACTTTATTGTATAATAAATCATTCAGCTAAACTTACCTGGGAGGCGGTCAGCGCCTCTAGCGCGTGCAGTCTCTGAAGGACATTCTGCATGTCTTCTTGTAACCGCATAAGCACTAACGCAATCTGTTCATTGAGGCTGCCTCTTGGCCCTCTATCCGATCCCCACCGTTCACCATCCCCTCCACTTCCCATCTGTCCACCTCGGGCACCATCACCCAGAGGTTGCAGCCTGTGCCCTGGTAAGGAAAACAAAATAGATGAATGATGTTGCTTCTACTGAAAAATGTTTGTTGCTTTGCCAACCAATCGTTAACACCCTTACCTCTATATATTTAACTCTTAATAGCTATAAAAAACAGAAAGAACCAAGATAATATTGTAGTAATATTTTAAGATATTATGGCAAAGCATCTCTTTAATTGTAAGTGTCACCTGCAGGATAGTGTATAGAAGTCCTATAAACTATATTCCAGGATCTAAAAGTTGTTTGAGCAAAAAACAGGTCCCTCTGCCCAATTTAGGAGACAGTAACTTGACCTACACTGACTTGTCATTAAGGGCAGATGGAGATGCCCTTGCATATGGAAATCTTACAGTGATTAAACTGGAATAGAGAAGACTTTTTTGGAACAGCGAGGAAGGAAAAACAGGTGTGGGAATTTTTTTTCCCCCAACTTAATATACTTCTCCAAGTTGTTTGTGACTAACATGTTTCTGCCTCAGAGCTACAAGAAGGAATAAGGTGAAAAAATGGAAAAATATTATGCATAAATTTAATAATATTGTATTTATTTGCATACTACACTCAACGTTTCTCCCAAAAAAATTAGCCTTCCAAAATTGAAGTGCATCCCGTAAATGGTGAATCTGATTTTTCTGCTCAGAACAGAAACAGAGAGCCCTTGTATGTAAAATGGCTGCTGCTGCTTTTCCTTCTCTTCCCTCCAGCAACTGCTAACAGAGAAGGACAGAGTCCAACAGGGGCAGATTCATAAGGGGGACGGGGAATGCACTGGAATAGTTGCAGCCTGCTTGAATCCCTGCTCTACCCAAAGTTTACAGTCAGCTGCCCAGTGATGGTATTTCTATTCAGACAGTGCAGATGCAATTAGCTTCATGGCTTATAAACTACTGGATTCCTGCTAACAGCGCTTCAATCTACAAATGTAAACAACTTCTCCTTTATAATGCATCTTGATGTTCCCCTAATCAAGCTATCATTTCTTTGGCAATTTTGCTGTCTATTAGCTACTCCCAGTATCTCCTCTCCTCTTTCACAGCCCTGCAGACTACATTATTGCTTTTCAAAATCTTAGCTTTGCCCAGGAGTCCAGTCTTTAGCTTCAGGTACAAAAGATGAGCAGCCAAGAGCTACTGACAATTCAGTTATGAAAAAAAGACAGCTTGTGCCCAAGCAGGAAAGGGAGAGAGTGAGTAAAAGATTAGGAGGGGAAGATTTTTGTGGTATCTTTTACTGGACCAAGTCTATACCTGAGAACTGCTTTTGATCATCAAGGGCACTTTTACGTGTTCTCCAGGGTGGGCAAGGTAGGGTAGGGCAGCATTTTAATTAAAGCAGCTACAAGAGCGGCTCCAATTAAAGCTTCGCTGCATCTCCTGTATCAGCATTCCTGCACTTAAAAATGGCGGTGGGGCACTTGAACTAAAGCTCGATCGACGAGCTTTAGTTCAAGCACCCCCACTGCCATTTTTAAGTGCAGGAATGCTGATACACAAAACGCAAGAGCCTGCTATAGCATGGCAATTGCCATGCTCCAGCAGACTCGATTTATCAAGTCTCCTCCGATGCACTGGAATTCCAGCACATCAGGGCAGCTTCTGTGCTTGCATACAGGGGCACCAAGTGCCTTTCCTCAAGTCCCAGATATCAGGC